TTCATTTACGCCGTTGCCTTGCGGTCGGTAGGGTGAGGTTAAGTGCAGCTTGCTTCGCCGCTCGTTCATGACTGGCTGGAAGAACTGACTCTTGAACTCACTACCGCCGTCTACAAGGACTGCGATGGGCACGCCGAAGTACTGCTGCCAATGAGTGACTGCAAAGTGTCTCACGGTCTGTGCGCTTTTGTCGCGTATCACTCGGGCTTGTAAGTACCTCGTGGCATGGTCGATTACGACTACGATGTTGTAGTCGACCCCTCCTACTGCCCGCGGGCCGATTAGGTCGAACGAGACGAGCTCGTTGAAGAACGGTCGCGAGAGTGAGCCGACATCTTTCGCAACTATTGACCTCAGATTCAGGTGTGCACAGAGCAAGCTTTCTCTTGTCCACTGTTCGATGTCGCGACAAAGGTTTCCCCAGAAATACTGGGCTTGCAATTGCCGTCGCATGCGGTGGACTCCTGGGTGTGCGCCGCTCTTGAAGTGCAGCCGGTTGAAGAGTGTCTTCCTCAGTCTACGCGGCACGTAGAGCCGATTGGTCCCTTTCTTGAACCATTAACCGTCTTGGCCGCGTTCGACGAGGGCTCTAGCCGTTGCATCTTCGTCGTCCAATGCTCGGAGATCTTTTGATTCGTCTGCGGCTTGTAGGGCTATTCCTGGACCTCAGGAGATGCTCTCTATGAGATCCTCCTTCTCTATGTCCTTTAGTAGGTCGGTTCGACTCAGCCAGTCGGCCACGACGTTGTCTTCGCCTTTGACGTATTCTACTTGAAGTCGTACTGCTGCAGAACAGTGGCCATCTTCCTAACTTGCCGGTTCGATAGGTACTTCCGGTTCTGCTGGTCGTTCTGACTAGGAACGGTGCAGCGCATAAGTAGTGGTGCCATTTATCCACGAAGCACCTTATGGCGTACAACTCTCGTTCACCTGTATCCCACCTTTGTTCTGCTGGGGACTCTATGGGGACACGTTCGCCATCTTGTTCTTGCTCTGGGATAGCTCATATGGCTTTCTCGCTGGCGTCGGTCGTGACTACGAAGCGGCCCTTGCCTTGTGGCGCTTTTTGCATGGTTGCGTGTATGATCGCTCGCTTAATGGCCTGGAACGCGGCTTCGTGACTTTCGTCCCATGAGTATAGCCTTCCTTTCTTTAGGAGGTCGTGAGTAGGGCTGTATGGTGAGTGAAGGATGGAATGTGCTTCTTCAAGTACGTCGCTGCGCCTAAAGACGATCTTAGCTCTTGGACGTTCTTGGGAGCTGGTACTTGGCGGATTGCTTCCACCTTGCTGGGATGTAATTTAATGCCATCACAACACCAACTCGCCTACTAGGTAGCCTAGCATCTTCACCCAGTCCTTCAGGTATTCACCTTTCTTCAGCCCCAGGTACAGTCCTTCTGCGCAGCATCGGTCGAGGACTTGCTTCAGTCTTTCGAACAGCACATCTAAGTTGTTTGCGCATATGACGATATCGTCAATATACACGCTGACGCCGTTGCCGATGATCCCGGCGAAGATTTGGTCCATGATCCTTTGGAACACGATTAGACTGTTCTTCACGCCAAATGGAACCACGGTGTACTGGAATGTGCCCTTTTTCGACACGAATGCTGTTAAAGGCTGACTCTCCTCCTCCAAGGGCACATTGACCTTGATTGTGTAAGACAATCTATAACTGTTCCAGCATTTAGCGAAAGGTTAGATGTCAAACAACTACCAACTTATCACGGAAGACTACCATCCACTATGAAACAAGTGCTAATCTATCGCAAATGGATTCAGAACCTGCTTCAACAGGGAAAGATCCGCAAGTTACCGCATAAGCCTAGCTTTACACTACCTGTCCGGATCGTGAACGAACGAGTAACGCATGACTGCCGACCACTGCTACCTTTTATCACTACCGACGGCAGATTCCCGAATGTTCAAAGCTGCTGGCCAATTGTGACATGGGCCGCGCAGCAACCCTACTTAGCGAAGATAAATCTAAAGAAGGCGTTCCAAGAAGGCTCCCAAACACTTTCACGGCGTAATGGGCATACTACTGAACAAGCTACCATTAGCGCACGACATAAGGTACTATCAAGGCGACATATTCGTGGCTGCTTCCGATCCACACCAACTCAAACGCCGATACCAACAAACTATCGACTACTTAACGAACCAGAACTTCCAAATCAATACCGACAAGTCGCAACTGAACTGTACAGAACTACTTGGCTATACGCTGAACAAGCACACGCTATCTATCCCAGATCAGAAATGGAAACACATCACCCAACTACTGCAATCCAACAATCTACAACTCATCAAGAGAGCGGCACAGACCTTAGCCTACTACAAACATACTCTTAACCAGCAA